CCGTTGAAGATATGGTTTCGGATAACGACTACATGGTCGTAACAAGCCAACGCCTGAAGAGAAAAAGCAGTCGGACATCGCCGACTGGCCGGCAAGCACAGACAAAGGCGAGTAGCATGCGGTCATACACCATTTCGTATGTGCCTGTCATCAAAGACAGGCATCTTGAACTTTCTGAATAGGCAGAGCCTGTTGGAGTACTTTGAGCTCATCGCCCCAGGAAAGGTCGTAGAAATACGCATAAATACTCGAAAGAACATCCTGTCCGTGGAGGTCACTATGAAGGCCTCAACGGGCACGCTGAAAGCGATTGTTCAATAGGAAACATTCCAGTTCGTGCATTCTCCGCGTACGACAAAGAAACGATAACAGGAGTTATATATGATGAGAATGAAGAGATAACAGACTCTAGTCTCTAAGAACTGCAGTCATCGTCGGCTCCCGTGCTTGGTTTTCATCGCTTTGGACGGACGGGATGTGTTAAAGTGGTGTTTCAGTCGGACATGTTACCCACACATGTAAAAGTTGGGTACGTGAGGCCCTGGGTACGTGCTTACATACCAAAACTTCTGCAACGCCATAAATGCATGAAATTTGGGAACGTTAGTGAGTTTGCAACAGTGCAGCAACCTGCAAGCACTGCGGTGGCCTTCAAGATGGCTATAACTGTAATGCTGTGGCCAAACGCCCAAACTGCTCAGGCACCCACAACGCAACATCCAAGGAATGTCCCGAAATGAGGAATGAAATGAGTATCCTGAAGAAATGGGTCAAGACCACTCCACTCACAGAGAAGCTGCAAGGGCTGTATGGCGCCATAAACATCGTACGCGACACAGACGCAAATGAAGCAGCAGTGCTCATAGCTTATCAAATTCGAGAGCCAAAGTTTATCGCATAGCTCATCAAATTCGACACGCAAACCCTCACCTTGTAGCCTACTTTCATCAGCCAGAAAGGACGATACAGATGCTCAAGTGCCAATACAGTTTACGCAAGTACAATGCAACCAGTCGTTGGCTCTCACCACATCGGAAACTCAGTGGCCTTCACTACTGTCAAGAGCCGCCGTAGCGCCATCATCACATAGTGCCCCTACCCCCAATAAAGAAAGCAAGAAGATGGACAATGCAGATGTCAAGGCTATGCTTAAAAATTTGATGAGTTCGATGCGCATGATCCTCAGAAGCCTAAATACTCCCGCTGCTAAGGCGGCTGTGCAGCTACTTGAGATTTCGGAGCCTCTTCTAGTGGTTCTTCAATAAGTGAATATTGCATTGATGTTCGAAGAATGCATGCACCAGTCGCTTGTTATGCAATGGAATGCTCATGGTCTACGTGGCCATCTGTCGGATTTCAGACAATGGGTTTTTAAATATCAATTTCCTGTAATCGTTATATGTGAACCTTATATGGTTTCAAGTTTTCGTATATCTAGATATATCCAGATTTGGTCCCACATGAATCCACGTACGAGCAAAGTTCTCGTTTGTATAAGTGACTTTACGTTCTTGAGACATGATGTCACGTCGCATACCAGCAATGATTACGTGAGCCTGACTATAACACATAAAAAGCAGACATTCTCAGTAATAAGAGGATACATACACCCACAGATAGACTGCTTCAACCTGGGGACCATTCTTCAAATCACACAAAGGCCACACATTGTGATTGGCTATTTTAATGCACATCATCTTCTCTAGGGTAGCATTACAATGAATTATCGTGGAAGGGATCTGGCCAATTTATATGCAACTATGGACTAAGTGTGGTGAGATATGGACTGTCGTATCAAAGGAGCTAGGCCTCGCAACATACACATACACCTGTCTACTTTTCTGTCCAAATTTTGAGCAAACCTCCCAATTGCACGGACACGGCCAAAAATTTCTTTGAAGGTCCCCCAACCCCACTTCGATAAGTAAACAAAAGCGACAACGAACAACAATTCTAAAATTTTCTGGCCTTCATCCATCGTGTACAAAGTGCTCGAGTCACTTTCGCCACAATGCTCCAGTGTCGTAGGGAAAAGCGTCAAGGGTCACAACAAATTTGTTCAATAATTACACACAGAGGCAAGCTCCATTTAGTACAAGCACAATAGCTGATATTAACTTTACTGGCAACCATTTACAGCAGTTCATGATGTCACTGGACCCTGAGAAACAATAAATCAATACGTATGCCTACTTTTTTTTCACACTAATTTTCCAAGTTTTCAGTTTATACTAATTTGTATTGATACGAATATTTTTGGTAACCCCGCAAGATTCGTATCACCACGGTTTTACTGTATTAGTTTCACAAAAGCCCGTCAATTTGGGAATGCTCCTGGGTTTCACTGTGAATACGGCCCCTTCATGACAGTTGGAACTTTTTTTTTTTTTTAGTCTGCACCTTCCTTTGCCTTTGACCGTTCGTTACACCAACACGCAAGAAATATTATGCGTTCAATTTATACTTGAAAAACTAATGAAATGAATTCATACTAAGAGCTTAGTACAGTGAAATCTCGATACAACGAATTTGAAGGGACCGCGGAAAATAGTTCGTTATTTTGAAATATCGTTATAGTGAAAACATCGAAAATTCGCATTAAAAATCGTAAATGCAACAAAAGGAGTCGCCTACCTTTGCTGTGTACACATCCGCAAACGCTTGATTTTATGACGAGCGTGAAAAGAAACAAAACGCGAAGTATTCCGGAATGAGCGCACGTTTATTTGAAAAAGTCGGTGATCTTGGCCTGGCGGGTGCCGCTCAACTGCCGCAGGACGAACGCTTCGAAGTTGTCCACATTCTTATGCTCTGCTTCGGTGGCATTGCTGCACCTGCCAAGGTAAGTGCGCATCTTTCGCACGCATTCCATGATGTCGGCGTTGGAAAGCGATTCTTCTGGTTGGCTAACGGGCGCGGTCTCAGCGTCGTCTTCGCCATTGGCGTCCTCGTCGCTGTTATCACCACGAACAGCACTGACGATGTCATCGGTCGTCAGTTCGGCTGACGTGCATGCTTCGTCGTCGCACTGCACATAGTCCTCGAACGTCACCGAGGCATCCATCGCGAGTCTTTCGACGACTTCTTGCCACATGCCACTCGCGTCGCTTTCTTCGCTGCCTTGTTCAGATTCAGATGGCATTACTACCAAGCCTGCCTTCCTCCAGCAGTTCTGGATGGTGGTTGATGTAACGCTCCACCAGGCCCCGGTAACCATTTCTGTGGCCTGTCGCACATTGATGGAGGTAGGCAGCTTCATCCGAAGATTTATCAGCAATCGCTGAACCAGGCGTGTCCGGTAATGGGCCTTGACACTTTTTATGATGCCTTGGTCCAGTGGCTGGAGCAAGGACGTACAGTTCGGAGGCAAGAATTCCAGCTGTACATTTGTCAGCCTGACATTAACAAGATGCGCCGAGCAGTTGTCGGCGATAATCAGGATTTTCCTACCTGCGCTCCTCATCTCATCGTCCACCTTTAGTAGCCACTCAGAGAATAACTCTCGTGTCATCCACGCGCGTGAATTAGCCCGATAATCGCACGGCAATGAAACAACGTTCCTCATGCAGCGAGGCTTCTTGTATTTGCCGATCACCAAGGGCTTCAGCTTCTTGGTGCCTGTGGAATTGCAGCATAACAATACCGTAATCCGGACTTTGGACTGCTTGCCGCCTTTGCAGCTGTTCCCTTTAAAATGCATGGTTTTATCAGGAAGCATTTGATAGAAGAACGCCATTTCGTCCGCATTGAATATATCATCTTCGGAGTATGAAGCGACGATTTCGCGGAACTTCTCGTCCCTCCATGCAGCAGCGCTTGCTGCGTCTGCCGCCTTCTCTTCACCAGACACCACTTGCCAGGTGATTCCATTCCTTTCACGGAAACGATGAAGCCACCCCGCGCTTGCTTCGAAGCCTGTGATGTCCAAAGCATCAGCGAATTGCCGGGCTTTTTCCTGCAGCATGGGTCCCGACACCGGCACATTTTGAGAACGCGCGTCCTTGAACCAAGTCAGTACTGCAGCATCCACTTCTTGGAAATTCCCAAGTCGGAGCCGTTTTCTTGACGGTGCGAGTTGGGACCCTCGGTGCAGCTCGAGGATCTTTTGTCGGTCCTTCAGGATGGTTGCGACAGTTGATGGTGCAACCCCCATCTCGTTCGCAATGTGGATTTGTTTTTTACCGGCGTCCACTTGAGAAAGAATATCCACTTTTTCTTTCAAAGAAAACTGCCTCCGTTTCTTTTTCGCGCTGCTTCCGGAGCTCATCGCGAACGCAGAAACGAATCACTCTAACCTTTAAAACGAGAAAGCCGTACGACAATCGTGCGACGTTGCCGGTCGACGTAACAAAACAAAGGCGGCGAGGTTAGGCTCAACCTGGCTCAACGAGCATGCAAAAAAAAAAAAAACATCGAAAACAAGGTACTGGCGATGGCGATAGGGCTAGCCAGGCTAGTGCGCATTTAGCATAATGCAACGCATGGAGAAATGAGCAGGAGCTCTGATGATGATGATAGTGCCACATATGGCGCTGGGCATTTAGACCGCCGCACGTAATTTTTACGCTAGAAATTCGTTATTTTGAAGTGCTCTTAAGGTACCAGGGTGATAAAATTTGATACGTTATTCTGAAACATTCGTTATTCTGAAATTCGTAGTAGTGAAATATTTTTACATTGAACCAATGGACATTTGGAAGGGGATTTCCGAAATATTCGTTAATCTGAAAAAATCGTTAATCTGAGGTTCGTTATAACGGGATTTCACTGTATGTTCTTAAGCTATTCTACCAGGATGTCCCACTCATGACCCAAGTCTTCTCCAATGTTTATCTGAATTTCTCAATTACTAAAACACTCCTGACTCTAATATTGACGTTTCAGACATTGAGTCTGGGTATTTCCCTTTTGCATAAATTCTTATCTGCCTTTGGCGCCTTTTGAATAATTTTCTGAGGCATGCATATCAACACAAACAGTAGCATGTCGTCCAGCCTTACCAAAGCCTGGCGTCGTAGACGTGGAAGGCTGGCCAAAACTGGATCCTGTGCTTCCAAAGAGGCTCCCAGTCTGTGTTGTTGTGCCTCCAAAGAGGCCACCACCTGTGCTGGGTGTCGTTGTGGCACCAAAGGCAGAGGTTCCAAACGCACTGCCCGCTGCAAATAATAACAATGAAAAAGATAACAAATAGTAGAGAACAATTTCTTTGCCTGCTTTTTTTTTTTTCATGCTTAAGATGCTACCCCCGGTTGTCACACTGATAAAGTTGTTGCCAAAGTTTCCAAGCTGCTGCCCTTTTTCAAAGAAATTTCGAACATGCACAAAACAAGTTTAAGGAAACCTTACATTTAATAAATAACGGACACATTTGTCATTACTCTCCGTTGCATTAGACATTTGTGTTGCATAAAACCCCATTACAGTTGCATTGAAAACTAAATTGAAAAGGGTACAGAAACATGTTTGTGACAGGCAATTATGATTTTGCCATAAGCTCACAGATTACATATCTAACAGGCTGAAAGCAACTCCAAGAGCTTTGGTTTCCCTTACACATTTATAATGATAAATCAAGAGCAAATAAAGATCTGTATATCAAGCAACCATTTTATTTATCGGCAAGACGCACACATACAAAAAGATATTAGGCAGCACTAATAGTACCATATCAATTCTCATTTTTTTCCTCATACCATTAACGCTCAGAATAAACTCCTTGTGGAGATACCCTCGAACTCTTGCTTTGCAGTGCCATTGAGTCTGTGCAATAGGAAACATCTTTCATTTATATGAACTTGGCCAGATTCTGTTTAATTACGTCAACATTTCCCCTATTACTTTTGCCATTTATGTACAGGTAGTCCGTATAGGTACTGTTATAAATAAAGGATTCTGCTATCCCCACAGCAGCATACAATAATGAACTATTTCAAAATCTTCCTGCACTTTACATACAGGCCTTTTCCACCATTTAATAATAATATCTCAGGTACTTGTCCCAAAACCACAATATCATTTAAGCTCCTAAAGCTGAATCAAGAATTCATGCTGCTTTTTAAAGAACCTCAAGAAGGCCCTGCAACACTTCCAATTATTCATCAAATGGCTCTATTAGAGAAGTTTAATGCTTCATGAATAAACCGCCACAAAAATTTTTGGAACCCATCAAGTACAAGCGAAGTTACAGGACTTCGTCGCAGACATTCAGCGTTTTCTCTCTTATACCAATGAGCATGCTGAAAGCTTTGCAGGAGAGGGATGAAAAGGGAGCAAGACGCAATGTCCCTTCGACAACTTACCATACCTTGAGTACATTTTTTTTTTCTTTAATGAGCAGTACTGAACCTCTAGTGTTATCGCATGACCTGCGCACGGGCACGAGGCAGAATCTTGCGGCGGCCGGGGTAACTATGCAGCTAACAATCAGCCAATGACTGTAGTCTATCGCGCTGTCATTTGGGTTGATGGCATCATTTGTCAAGAGAAAGGGGAGCAACTTGAAGCTAACTTTAAAAATTAACTACAAATTCCAGCGCATGCACGGCACCATGTTTGCCTCCAATGTCTTAAAGAGACTTAACTACCCATTGGCAGCGTTTTCTGACCATGCTCAAAAAAGTGTTGCAGGGCCCCTTTAATACCTCGTTGCACTGACAAAAAGGAAATACAGTGCAACCTCATTTACTAAGGTCTCACGGGACCGGTGACATTGTTCAAGTTAACCAAACTGCAGATTATCAAGTGGACCATGAAAACAAAAAGAAAATGTACTCTTCCACAAACAAATTTTTACTTTATAAAAACAGTTATTTTTGTCTACTTCCTCAACGGAATTCATACTAGGACGATCTTCAAACAGATCATTTGATTGCTGCTGTGGCTGCTTCACTCCGATGATGGTCACCATCATTATGAAACACAACAGCGACAGAAATGCACACAAGCACAGCCAGAAAACATATTGTGCATGAGCTCGCATGCTACACACAAAGCCACAACACAAAGAAACCAGCAGCGTAAGCCTAGCGAGCAGCTGTGATGACGTTGGCAGCACAAACCGTCCTGTTGCCCGTGTGTTCCATTTTAAATAGATACTGGATGCGCCGGCGGTTCAAGCGGTTCTGTCGGGTGGCTACTACCACCACCTAGTCACATCGCCCGCATTCACTATCATGATCATAATCTGCTGCAGTTCGTTGGGTTTCGGTTAGTCTAAAACTGCAGTTCAACCATCGATTACAACAAGCACTGCTTGAGCCTCCAAGCCGCTGAGATCGCACGACTAAAAACAAAGTCCCAACAGCCCTCTCTAGGAGTTGTCCGACTTAAATGGTGCATGGCTAAATCTCTTTGAATTAACTAGCATTTGACACCATCGAAGTATAGGCTGTTTTGCTGGGACCACACCATAAGTCCGAGTCAACTTAATTTCCTAGTTAACGAGATCCATATAAAAAGACATTTTACTGTATTCTGCCAGTGAGTGTTGTATCGTAGCCATGTACAGTACTCATGCATTCAAACTTCATATCAAATTTTTTACAGTAACAACTGGTATGCGCCATAGCTCGAGATAACCCCGTCATGCCGCAAAGAATCTAGTTTCGACTCTGACCTATGTCTTCATAGATGAAATTGCACCAATGTGATCCGAACTAAACACAGTGGAAACGAAAGTATGTGTATCACTTAGCCCTATGTTGTCCTGTTTCAATGCGTGAGTACTGTACATTCAACAAAATTTCAATACACATGCACTTGCATCAGTCTAGCATGTACCAACAAGACTATATAGCCCTGCAACAAAACATCTACTCTTAAACAAATCTTCCAATTACACCACAGAAACATGAAGCCCTTTAGGCATTTGTGCGTTTCAAACACGTCATGCAATTTGCCTTCAAGACACTACATTAAGAAAGCCTATGGTAATATTTCCTGACACAATTTTTAAGATTGTGGCACCACATGGTTCCTCTACGACGGCTCCAACATTAGGAGTCCATGGCATTCAGGCAGATTGATACAAGCCTGCATCCATGGGTGGACAGCCCAGGCTAACGTCCTAAGCCAGACGGCCAGCGACTCCATCTTCGGAGAATATTGCTGGCCATATGAGCAGGACTATCGTTAATTGCGGAGGCAATCGACTGCTGCGCTTCAGTCATCTGGGTGGGGCTTCTCCAGGCTTAAGGGGAGATACGAGTTCAAAAATGCAAGTCTTTTCTAAAATTACACACTTCTCGTTTTCATTTGCTTTCACAAGTTCAGTTTCTCTACTTTCACAACAAATGATCCAGAGATTTCAATTACACTCGGAGTCAATGAAACCTGCTCTTAAAAAGCACAAGGTGGCTACTAAAAACTTCATTGTCTAGAGTCCCTTAGAAATTGTTCCCTGGCTGCTTGCCATTGCATTTTGCATGAGGAGTTCACTAAAGCCACACGTGTAAAATAACCATGATTGCCAAGCGCTTATGATGGAGGAAATCATTTTTAAAATATATCTTTGCCGCATAGATGAGCTTTAACTTATACCTTTAAAATGTGTTTTTCTCGAAATCCATTTTTGGGCAACTTCTTCAGTTTAGACATCAAGTTTTTGGCACCTTTGATAACCAAATCAAGATGAAATTTTTCTCACATATTCTTTAATATGTGAAGGGTGCCAGTATCTCTTTTAAAGCATCATAATGCCTGCATAATTATATCAAACATAATAGTATGGTCTGAGGATTTTTAGAATTCTCAAATTACAATTTTCCTGGTCCATCAAAATGTCTTATGCTCACCTTCTTTATAGTTATCAGCATTATACGGTTATTGTGGAACAATAGGAGCCATTAATGGCTAAGAATCATAAAAGTTTAGTCGCATAAAAAGTTTGCCCGAAACGAACTATACTTTACACATTGTCATGGAACAAAAATGAAAACTGTGCAACTCATCATAAAACTAGTCACATATTGGAAATCAGTGTAAAAAAGCCTATATATACCACAAAAAATTTTATTGCCATAGGCTACAGATAAACAAAGCTTTTCTTTCAAATCGCATCTACTCTTAAGTTGTATCCAACTAGGGTGATTCTACAAGAGATCAACACGGGTCGAAAAGCTGATATTTTAGATTTGATTGTTTATTTTATTTTTGCACACGTACCACCCAGTAGCCCGAAAGTGAACTTCGTTTTTTTTATTAAATACAGAGTTTAGGAGGAAAAAAAATATTGAACTTATTTTGTACAGATGGACCAATTTCGTACCGTGTCATTCTCAAAAGTTAACGACGATATCAAAACACAAATATTAGCTTGATGAAGATGATCTTTTTTCTAATAAATGAATGTGTAATGAAGAATGAGGCAGCCTCGTTTGAAGCTTGTGGGCTGAAGCAAAGTGTTTCTGAAAAATGTCTAAACAAGTGACATTTTTCAAAAGTTGCTTGATTAGAGATTTTTTTCCTCCTAAGCTGAACCAGCTAGTGTTTCATAACTTGGTGACCTATTACAACATAATGTTTGCAATACCGATTGATTGATTGATTTGTGGGGTTTAATGTCCCAAAACCACCATTTGATTATGAGAGACGCCGTAGTTTGACCACCTGGGGTTCTTTAACGTGCACCCAAATCTGAGTACACGGGCCTACAACATTTCCGCCTCCATCGGAAATGCAGCCGCCGCAGCCGGGAATTGCAGCCCGACAATACCGTTGCTGTACCTCAAACACATAATTTAATAAATGGCCTCAAACTTTAAATTTCGTCGACAAAAAAGCCTATTGAGAAATCAATATTTAAAAAACCTTATCTTTGATTTCTCTTCGAATCCCGCAAGCCATTCCTCGCAGATGATAGAAAAAGAATAGTATAAAACATATTCTATTATTTTATTTGCAGCGACAATATTAGGGGTGGAAGTTCCAGCTTTTCGAGCATGCTCTTGGACGATAAACGCAAGAGAAATCGGGATAAAGAAAGTGGGCCTGAGCTTCTCAGTCGTTTAAATGGGACCATCCTTACAAAAGAGCAGCAGATTTAGCACATTGAGGAATGAATTTCTGTACCGGTGCATTTCTGGTGCACTCCGCTTAGCTTTAATGCCAGATGAGCAATACATAATGACACACACTAAAGCAATCTGAACATATTTGCAGACAACGCGATGAATTGAAATGCTCTGACACCCGCATAGGACCACAGAAGATAGTACATGAATATTTGGAATGACCCGTTCCCCTATCCCCTTTCATGTTGTGAAATGCATAGAAGAAAAGCCATGCTGTGCTCAAAATGCTGCATTTTTTTCCCGATAACTTACAGCAGTGCTTGACACTAACAAAACATTGACCATGATTTGTATCATTAGGCGAGGTTGACCAAACGCACCGTAAACATAGGCCTGCAATGTGGCAAAAATATGCACTAAAACAATCTTAAAGTAACAAATGGTCTTTCGGTAATCTCCATTTGCATGGAGCATTTTGAGAGTGTTCAGCTATACAGTCTTTTAAACCATTTCAGATGCCGGCTAATCACTTCCAAGCTTTCCGCTCTTGAATGACAGTGAGGTTTCTTGCTTTGCTAGGCTTTACTAATATTGGTTTCGTTAAAATTAGATTTCTTTACCATTTTCTATAGTTAAAACCCTATGATATCGTACATTGCATACAAGGGGTGGCACGCATGAAATTGTTGAGCAGGCGACCGGGGAAGGAAACGCTAAACCGTGTTTAGGTTAAGGAGGCAACTGCAGCGTTACTAAATTTCGATATTCGTTTTGCTTCGGTGGTTCCTCTCGATCGCAAGCCTATTCCCATTGAACTGCACTGAACCAAAACTTTAAAAGCGACTGTAATGGCTGCCTCATGTAACCGAGGTGAGCAACCCAGGTGCCAATAAGCACAAGCCTCGGCTTGAAATGGCAAATCTAGGTATTTCAGAAGGGCCCGCCTAAAATGTTCATTCTTGTTTACCAAATCTGCTTTTCCTCTGTAAATATGGTCCTGTTCAAACTACCCAGAAGCTCGAGCCCACTTTTTTTTAGCCCGACTTCTCATGTGTTTATTGCCTAAGTGCATGCTCGAAAAGCTGGAACTTCCACCCGTATTATTGTTGTTGCAAATAAAATAATGCAATATGTTTTATAATGTCCTTTTTCTATCATTTGCGAGGAACGTTTCATAGGATTTAAAGACAAATCGAAGCTGGAGTTTTTAAATATTGATTTTTCAATAGGCTTTACTGTAGACGAAATTGAAAGATTGAGGCCAGCTATAAAACTGTGTTCAAGGTACAGCAACGGTACTGTCCTGGAACATTGTAAACATTATGTTGTAAATGGTCACCAAGTTATGAAACAAGCTCATTTAGCTTAGGAGGAAAAAAATTTCAAACCAAGCAACTTTTAAAAATGTTATCTGTTCAGACATTCTTCAGAAACAGTTTGCCTTAGCCCACAAGCTTCAAACAATTGTGCTTCATTCTTCATTATGCGTGCATTTATTAAAAAGAAGATTGTATTTATCAAGCTAATATTTGTGTTTTTATATCATAGTTGACTTTCGAAAATGACAAGAGATGAAACTGGTCCCTCTGTGCAAAATTAGTTTAATATTTCTTTCCTCCTACATTAAACAACGATCATTTTCGGGCTACTGGGTGGCATGTGGACAAAATATAAAACAACCAATCAAATCTAAAATCTCAACTTTTGGACCCGAGTCGACCTCTCTTGTAATCAACTACTATAGTTGTCATCGAAGGCAGCAGCACTTCTCAGTGTCAAGCCCCTTTTACTACACAATATGCGAAGAATTAGGAAGGGGGCTAATAATATGCGGACTGCAATTTTAATTGACAACTCATTTTAGTCGACCCACTTTTTTTGATGGTGCAACAAAGAGCTCACCCTATGTAGTGCTTGTATCTCCAGTAGTTAATACCAAAAGCACGTAGTCATTTTACGAGCAGTATTTTCTATTTGAAAGCCTCTGAACACGGATTTACCTTTCCTTCAGCAACTTTGAGAATTGATAACGATGCCCATCTCGCAATTTGTGAAAGCTGTCATCCTTCTGCATTTACAATAACTATACTGCATGAATTTAATTTTGAGCTTCTCAACTACTTTTCAGAATAACAAGATGTTACAATTAGTTTATGTGGCATTATACACCTTCCCTGTATTTGTACCAGATTGTGTGCACCTGCACCCAAGGTTACCTGCTCCTCTGTACTGGGTGGCTTGTCCAGGGGTCATTACTTTCTCGGTACATGAGCCAAGCCAAGACATCTAAAACGTCGTTATGCGTATGCAAGGTGGCACAGAGTAGCAGTGCAAGTAGCAAAACTATGTCGCTCAAAAATCTTAGAGACCTAGAAACTGCCTGCACGGTTACATGACCACGCTGAAAAAGTTGCTCAATACATCTGGACGAAGATGGGATCATTACGTCACGAGATGGCAGCGCCGCTTTAATGCATACTGATACTATTGATGCAGGTCCCATGTATACAATTTTAGGAAGTGATATCTTTTAACATAAAGAATTAAAGAATGGTGTATTACTAACAATAGGATTGTGAACCGCTTACAGCAAGTAATAGACCTGTGACGGGGTACATCGAATAGTGCATGTTTTTGCACCAGAAAAGGTCATTTTTCACTAATTTCAATCAAGAAACTATATATAAATCCATGTCTCACGAAAAAAAAAACAGAGTTGGTTTCAATCAATGCGCCGGACATTGTTTCGGTCAGTGGAGTCATCTGATTGCATGTTTTGGGCAGTTGTCGGTCTCTTAAAGTGCGAGTTGTGTGCCTGTACACAAGCAGACTATAACTTCTTCAAGCACAGCTCTAGCACAGCTCGTCTTCTAGGCAACAACACGATTTTTGTGACTTTTGAACACATCTTAAAAGATACAAATCCTATTAAAATCTCGAGAATTCTCAATTCTGTAATTATAATTCCCTGTCTTTCCACTTGCACTACTGCCTTTTGATACATTTTGGCCAATAGTCAGTCCCTGTCCCCGAAAACCAAAGTAACCACAACATTGCGTCATATGTTTATGCTATTATACACTGGAAAAATTTATGATAGGAAAAGAAGAGGGCATAAATCTTTCAGAAGAGTTGGGATAAAGTCCAATGATCACCTCGTGATCATCCTTTGCTCTTCAACTATTTGAAAGCTCAACTCTAAAGTGCGGAAAGTACAACTTTCTAAACATGTTTTTAGGAGGCTCAGACTATCCGTACAACGTCATGGGTCAAAGCATACAGACCTCCCAAAGCTCATGCCGTAATACAATGTCAACAGACAGTGTATTGCTTCTTTGACATCCCATCAGCAGTTTAGTGTTACAACTTCCTCTACTCAGAAGCTTTTCCGAGCCCAGTCAAATATTCTGAAGCCAGTTCACAAATCACTAAAGTTAAATTGAGATAAGCATTTCTTCTAGGAATATCTGCCACAAGGATTGTGAGAAATAAAAGAGATTTCAATGCTTATCGACCTGCAGAGGGCAAGAACTGCAACGACGTCTCTATATTTGTACAAGTCTGTTCTCCGAGGATGTCCATTTGTGGCCCATCTGGCTCCTATAGCCTTTACGAAGTCCTGAAGTCCGATTGTGAGCATTGCAGGGCCCAGCTAAAGACAATTATGAGCATTTGACAATGCCACAAGAGCCAAACACATAGAGTTCCAATATATTCCTTGATCAACTTTTTCCTAGACATAAGTCAGGTTGTTAACAGAGTTTTATAATATGATGAAAGGGACAATGTGCTCGAAGATTGTAAAAGGATTCATCTGCCCAGCGAGTGGATAAATGTAAACAAAGTACAAAAAAAAACATAGTGCACAAGTTGTGATAAAACTGGGGAAAACTACATATTAGCGCACTTTATTAGCAGATGCCCGGCAGATGGCAAAAGTGTGACGGCACATCCAGCTGACCGATCTCAGTGTTCTGATGCTGCCTTTACAGCTGGATCAAGCGAAGCCTCCACTGCTACCATCACTCCTTGTCAAGGGGTGAAATCAGTGGCACCTTCCTAGCAAAGCAGAAGTCACCTGCCTTCAAGGTTTTGCTTCGCAACACAGGCAAACAAATGCATAAACATTTAAAGCAGCCCGGATGAGCAGTGGTGGTAGCAGCGTAGCGTTGGGTCCCCCAAATGTGCCAACGCACTCTCACTATCTGCAGCACACCAGCTAATATAGCGCACAGGCGTGCAGTTTTGTCTAGTTTGGCCACAGCTCGTGTGCTCCGTTTTACTGTTGGGCACCAGAACACTAATATGTAGGAATGCGAATGTAAGGCTATCAGCATAGCATCAATGGTGGAACACTGTACACGTATGGGAAACTGTGCGAGTTAAGCAACCACATTTATCACACTGTTTTTGTGTCTCCATTCACATCGGCCGAAGTTACCGTTTCCACATTTTAATTAGAAGTAAGTGTTCTGACCTATGCTTTTACTGGCAGCATCCCACGGTGACCAAAAAGGAAGGGGACACTCGGTTGGCTTTGTTCTCATTACAAACAGCTGCAGAACCCTCTTTGCGCCGTGAAATGTCACATTCACCAGAGCTGTTACCATGCGCAGTACCGGAGGCACATCAAAACATAGATTTTTTTTTAATTTTCTGCGCTATAGGTTCAATGTGTTTCTGTATCATGCAACATCACCTCTTCATAGCTGACGTCTCTCACACGAACAGCGGCTTCGAAAATACAGCCCCGAAAGCAGCTCATTCAGAATGTCCAGAGTAGCGATGTATAGGCAGAACGTGGGCAAGAGCTTGGCATTCATTAGCGCTGCGCGGTTTTTTTCATAGAAAAAGCGCAATGAGAAAAGCAGTAAGCAGGGGCAAGTTAAAGCGCAGAAGCACTGTTTTTACGACGTACTTTGACCGAATGCCGTTGGCTGCGTCGAGCCGAAGGTTCCCCCTGCAAAGAGAAGAAGGAAGCGACACAAGCCCGTTTGCACATATAAACAGTTCTTGTGCGATATTATCAAACCGATACCCGGTGAGCACAGCATGGAATACGAGTGCAAAGCACAAAGCAATCAAAACAGAGAAGCAACGCAATGACACCTACCTGTGCCAAATCCCGTGGTGGTCCCGAAAGGGTTCTGGTTACCAAACATTTTTCCTGTGAGAAGCTGCTTCCTTTATATCTATGGTCCAGAATTATGTGGTCTGATGACCTCGATCGCACGCTCTGCGGCACAAAATTTTATCGTGACACATGCGCACAACAGCATGTCCCCATGGGCGGCACGGCTAACCAATGAACGCTGTAAAACGAGTATTCAAGTAAAATATGCGATACAGTGCTACTTCGTGCGTTAGTCCGCTGGGGGCATCAAATTCTCGAACGCTCGCGTAATCGCAAAACAGAGCCCAGTGATACGAAAATACTAGAACCACACAACAAGGCAAATTTATCTGCCTTCAACATAAAATTTTTAAGCACGCGCATGCGCAGCAGCAGTGTTGCCACACTTTATGCCAGATTGCGCCAAATTTAAAACCACAAAATTAGACCATGGATATGACGTACTACAAAGTATGACCTGCAGTACCAAAAAAAACACAAAAACTACTGTTTAGCTACCTTAGCAAACACTTTTAAAATAAGTATCAATGAATAGCGACGAGTTTTTACGCTATTTTACAAAGACATTATACTAAATCTCAGCCGCACGGCAGCGCTGCGGTGCGCCGGGTCAGCGCTGTTTTTGAAGTTTTCACCGGCTTTTTACACCGGACACGATTACTAACAACAGACGAACCATGCTTGCCACAACGTTTATTCAATTTGTGTGTGTTGTGGCTACTGATGTTATTCTAACAACCGTGTGTGGGCGCTTTTAACGCTCATTAGAAAAGCACAGCGCGTTGTTTCTTAAAACTGCGGCAGCTTGTCTCCGTGGCGAATGCTACGCAATGGTGAATCACTGCTCTGTGCCCCTATATTATCACCCGTTCGTGAAAATAGCGCTGGCTTTCACAACTATCCTACCGATCCGAAGCTGGAGAAGTAGAGGATAGTCAAACTCAGAGAAAGAAAGCATTCAGCGCCTTCGTCTACTATGCGCAACAAGCATTTTGCTGACAGTGACTTTAGATATACCCTCGTTACACTTCACTTTTCGGTAAGCTATCAACTCAGCTTCAGCGCCTCGCCAGCGTAGGCGACTTACACCAGGTGAGGTGCCGTCCCAAAAACCACGAAGGCGCCCAGACAGGGAGCCGACTACAGCCGACTACATCTCAGACTGGTTGGTGTACGTATACATACATATACGTAGTTTACTGACCAAGGCAATCACGCGCCCAGCCCACTGCTTATCATAAATTCATAAGCGAAAGCTTCTGTCGCTGTTTAGTGCACATTCACTAAAGGTTGTCACATAATATTTGTGGCCCTGTGCGCGGTATATACAATGAGCGATAGCTACTTGTGATATATTCTGATACCCGAGCGACGGTGCGGTAATAATATGAACTACTTCATGATGCCACTGTCATTTAACAAACATTACTGAGACAAACTGCAGTCATTTGCATCGGCTAGAGGGTGCATTAAGGCGGAACTTGCCGCCTTCCCGAGTCCCACCAGCACCTACACCTCAAGACTTTTCTTACTGCAATACAATGCAGGTTTGCGCCCTGCATATGCCCATAGCTGCAATCCAAGCACAATTATCTCAAATTTCGTAATTTGATGCTGCTTAAATTTGCATTTCTAGTAGATACCATGAACGGTTTATTTATTGCCGCAGCATCAATTTAAACAGCTGCTCTGCAGTAATTATCTCATGTGTTGTTTGCGAATGCCAGAGTGGCAGAAATCAGCTATTCTCACACATATCCTCGTGTTCATAGTCACTATCGTTGCACTGCAGCAAATATTCCAAGGGAAAGGGCAGGCGTGCCTTTTTCTTTGGGATTGTTGTGAAAGCTAACGTCACTTTCACGGGCGGACGATAAGCGCACTGAGGCACAGAGGAGTACTTCACCGCATTGCGCTGCACTCTATCGCCACGGGGATGTTGTGTGGCCGGTTCGCAAGACCACGTGTTTTCAAGGCCAGAGCCGCGACGATGATGCGATTATCATTGACGACATCGGTTGCGCGCATTCAACAATGTGGCTTGCGTCGTACACTACCACGTCGTCGATGAGACACCGTGACGTTTCGCTTGCTGTATATCTACACATGCTTGTAGGTGCAGCGCTCGTGTTGTTTTCTTTACCTTCCATTCGTCGCCCTCCGTTCACTTTTCTTCTAGCACTTTCGTGCTTGCGCTGCAACTCTTAATACAATGGATAAAGGCAGGCTCATTGAAAATTTGAAACACCCGAACTAATTAGTATCGCACGGCGGAAACTGCCTATGATGAGCGAGAACAGTTGCACATAGTTTCACTTTCATACCTGCAATGTGGTCGGTGGCATCGGCGGGCTTATCAGCCATCTGGGAGCTTTCTTTGCCCTGTCGATTGGGCGACAAGTAATTGATTAATATGTGGGGTTTAACGTCCCAAAACCACCATATCATTATGAGAGACGCCGTAGTGGAGGGCTCCGGAAATTTCGACCACCTGGGGTTCTTTAACGTACTCCTAAATCTGAGCACATGGGCCTACAACATTTCTGCCTCCATCGGAAATGCAGCCGCCGCAGCCGGGATTCGATCCCGCACCTGCGGGTCAGCAGCCGAGTACCTTAGCCACAAGACCGCTGCGGCGAGGCAGGGCCACACGTAAAGCAAATTCATAATTGCACTCGAAAACATTCGTTATGGGCGTTAGTTGACCCTCGCGAGGCTGTTCGTTCGACAAAGTTCCCGCCCGAAGCACATGATCCACGCACGGGAGCAGCGGCTGCTGCAGCGCGGCTGAGAGTGGAGTCCACAAACTGACGTCACAAGCAAGGGAGCGCCTTTCCAAGATCTCGAGTGGGGAGCCTTCATGTGCGCACATGAAGGCTCCCTAATCTCGAGGCCGATACGGGCAGTTTTAACCGCGATCTCCTCTATATATTTACGACCTGCTCACCAGCGCCACCTCTACGGAGGAGCATGGAGCTAAAAATTGGCGCGTAAGGCCCAGAGATGCCGCCACGACTTATCGCCATAGCAGACGATGCACGGTCATTGTGGTGCACTCAAGTGCGCGCGTTCTCTTCATTGTTTTTCTTGTTTCTAACGTGTGTATCGAGTAATTCACATATTAAACGTCTCGAAGCAAAATTCAAGGTGTGAGAAGCCCGTTAGTAATTGGCTCCGGGATGTTCACCATAGGACCTCAATATCTGCGCGAGCGCTTTTGTGTCCCCAACTAAGCGCAGACGAACAAAAGCAATATGTGACACGTAACCAGGAGAACGTAAGCCTTATTTCTCACTTCATTTTCTGCAGCGGTGCCCCGCCTGACCACTACCACTGCCTAGCAGCTGCAGAAACAATACGTATATGGCGAGACGGTGCAACCTTGTACAAAACTCAGATCTGAAACGGAGCATGTACGACGCAAATAAAGACGAAATATGGATACGTACGACGCACGCGATGGCCCGTGTGAGTTTTCATGACCTGCCTATAGCCGTTCAACCATATACTGTCCTCAGATAACGACAGAAGACAGACTGCCGTTGTGCACTCATCGGGGCGCTTTTGAGTTTACGGCTGATGGAAGCGTGCGACAAGACCGGCGGATTACTGCGACGTTGTTACGACGACTTCTCCCACCTACATATATCACACGTTATTGAATGTGGCCACTGTTCGAGCGTCGCTGACACTGTCACGTGAAATGCGACCACTGTTTTATTACTGTAGCAAAGCTCAATGTAAACCATACGGTCGAGACAACAGCTCTTGAGCGCTCTATTTTTCTTATGAGAATTTTTCCTACACACTCGAGTATCATATTCATAGTCTAAAGCATGCATGCGTTCTCAATAGCTGAATCATTTGAACGTCCCTTCTAGGAGCTTTTAGCATTGATTACATTGTACTTGCCGCCAAAAATTAATGAAACCTACTTTTGAAACATACACTAAAGATATTATTGAAACATACACTATTCCTGATGCCGCCCATGGATTCAGCTGCCGGTTATTTTATTCACATCATACGTGTCATCCATATTGTTGTGTACCGAGTGACGCACACCAAAAGCCCCTTAGGCATGCAGGGACGTAGGCAGAAATTTTTTTCGGGGCGGGGGATGGGGGAGGGGCGTTTTTTTTTAATCTGAAGTGGGATCTGGTCTGGCAAATGGTAGTTTTGCGCAACGATGGTTTTTGCATTCTGTGTGCCATGTCGAAAAAAATTGTCAGATGGGGGGCATGGCATTCTCTGGCTACGCCACTCACTGCTGTCTGGTGGCATATGGCTTCTTCACTGTGACGCCAGAATTCACCCTCAGATGAACAGGCCCCTATGACCGCTACAAATATGCATACATTGCTTGCTCAGGGACGAATATTGAAATTTTCATACACGTTTGCGCTCAAAAACATTCTTAGCTAGCTGTATTCACGCTTTATTAACAGAAAGAAACGAGTAAGTATGCTCGTAGTTATATGTTTTCTTCTCAGAATCTATGGTACGTTGAAGCACGAGATGTCAATAATCCAGTATAAGCATTGCTTTTGGAGCAATGCTTGCGTGCTAGTAAAGGGAACTGTAATCTGCAACGAAAATATTGTTTTACCGGAGGCAGTTTATTAAACAAAAGCATTTAACAGTGCAGTTCACAATACCTCTCGTGAAAAAGGTGAGCAGTACGATAAAATAAGTAAATGAAACTACGTAGCACTATACGCTTTACCAAGAGCCCATGAGCATCTCATCCGAGTTAAAACTAAAATTAAGCCCCCCCCCCCCCCAAAAAAAAAACAACAAGAAACACTGATCTAGTATTTAATAAACACCGCTTTCGAGGACGGACAAAATTTTTCAGATAACCAACAAGTCGCCACTGTTATCAATGCAGGCGTGTAATATACGGTGACACTGGTGGATACTGCTGAAGAGCGCTAACGTTCAAATACCACAAAAACAAGCGAACGTGCACTCACACCTGCAGTAAAGCGGTTTGATGTCTGCAGCGATGGGGGTAGGGTTCCTTGTAGTAAAGCGCGCATCGAAGAACCCTAGATGTGGGTAAGGACCTCGAATGGGGGTTTTCAGATGGGGGTAAGTCACGTTTCCTTCCTCCATAAAGGTAAGGTCCTTAGATGAAATATCTAGGGACCTTCTATGGGGGTAGGGTTCCTCTATTCACGCGCCCCCTTGGAGGGTGGAACCACTCTTTGAAGGGGTGAGTGCCGCATTTCGATCGGCGGCCGCCATTCGGCTCCCCCGTCTCGTCGCCACTGGTTGAGTGAGACACGTGCGCGGCGTTTTCTCGGGCAAAATGGCTGGGTGTTGCGTGCCACAGTGCACAAACCAC